GAGGTTAATTGATTTTTTCCCTTTTTTTTTTTTTTTTTTTAGTGTAGGCTTGTAGAGCTGTAAATGTTTCTCTCAGGACTGCTTTCAATGTCCCATATATTTTGGATTGTTGTGTTTTCATTTTTATTCATTTCCAGGATGTTTTTAATTTCTTCTTTGATCTCTTTAGTAACCCAGTCATTGTTTAATAGCATGCTATTCATCTTCCAAGTGTTTGAATTTTTTTTGATTGTTTTCATTGTAGTTTATTTCTAATATTATGCCATTGTGGTCTGAGAAGATGCTTGATATAATTTCAATCTTCTTGAATTTGGAGAGACTTTGCCTGTGACCCAGTATGTGGTTTATCTTTGAAAATGTCCCATGCACACTTTACAAGAATGTATATTCCATGGCTTTGGGGTGAAATGTTCTGAAGATGTCAATTAAGTCCATCTGATCGAGTGAGTCATTTAGGATTGCTGTTTCTTTGCTGATTTTTTGTCTAGATGATTTATCCAGTTATGTCAGTGGGGTATTAAAGTCCTCTACTATGATTGTATTGTTGTTGATCTCTCCCTTGATATCTTTGAGGAGTTTTTTGTGTGTATTTGGGTGCTTCTGCATTGGGTGTATATATGTTTACCAGGGTTATATCCTCTTGTTGTATCGATGGCCTTCAGTTTGAGGTCTATTTTCTCAGAAATAGGTACTGCTACCCCAGTTTTTTTCCCCTTTCCTTTTGCCTGGAAGATATTTTTCCATCCCTTCACTTTCAGTCTGTGTGAGTCCCTTGTTCTAAGGTGGGTCTCTTGAGGACAGCATACATATGGGTCATGTTTTCTTATCTATTCAGCCACTTGATGTCTTTGATTGGAGCATTTAGTCCCTTTTCATTTCAAGTTATTATTGATAGACTAGGGGCCCAGTGCATGAATTTGTTCACCTTGAAAAGAACTGTGGACTGTGAGGCTACGATGGGCACAGGGACGGGTCTCAGCCCATCCTCCTCGCACCCATCTAGCCCTCCCACCTTGGCCTCCGGTCCCCTGTCTGCCGGCTGCCCCGCTCCCACTGCCGCTGCTCCCACGTGCTGAGGGTGCTGGCCCCACTTGCACCTGCTGATGGCACAAAGTGATTGGGGCTGGCGCCAGCAGCAGGTGCAAATGGTGGCTGCTGCCCCAATTGCCCCTCAGGAGCAGGCGGAGGTGGAGAAGCCCTCAGAGGCGATCAAGGCTGGCAGCCCCTCTGCTGATGGCACCAAGCGATCAGGTCCAGCACCAGGCACCAAACGGTGGGTGCGAGCAGCGGCTCCAGTGCCAGCAGCGGGTGCGAGCGCTGAGCAGGACCATGGTGCGCAGGAGCAAAGGATTTTCAGTAACCACCAGAGGCTCACCCTGACGACAGTGACCAGCACCCCACCTTGGTCTGGTGCTGCCGCTCACCTGCTCCACCATCCTGCTGTGGCCAACTCCTGTCATGTTTTGCACATGCCCCCTGGTGGTCAGCACATGTCATAGCGACCGGTTGTTTGGTTTTTCCAGTTCCACCATTCAGTCTATTTGCATATTAGCCTTTTATTATATAGGATACTTGTTTGTAGCCATTTTTATTTTTTTGTGCCTGTGTTCCTTCTTCCCTTTTTATTTCTTCTTTTTACACCAGTCCCTTTAGCATTTCTTGCATTGCTGACTTGGTAGTGATAAATTCCCTTAGCCTTTCTTTTTGTCTGTGAAGCTCCTTATTTCCCCTTCAATTTTGAATGATAGCCTTGCTGGATAGAGTATTCTTGGATTCAGTCCTTTGCTTTGCATCACTTTGTAAATTTCCGTCCATTCTTTTCTGGCCTGATGTGTTTCTGTTGAGAAAGCATTTGATAATCTAATGGGAAATCCCTTGTACATAACTTTTTGTCTCTTTCTTGCAGCCTTTATGATTTTCTCTTTGTCTTGAATGTTTGCCATCATAATTATGGTGTGTCTCAGTGTGGGTCTTTTCGGATTCATTTTGTTTGGGACTCTCTGTACTTGTGTGACTTTCTTGCCCACATCAGGGAAGTTTTCTGACATTATTTCTTCCAATAGGTTTTCTAATCCTTGTTCCTCTTCCTGTCATTCTGTCACCCCTATTATTCATAAGTTGCTTCGTTTCATGTTGTTCCAAAGCTCCCTTAGGCTCCCCTCCTATCTTTTAATTTTTTTCTCCAATTGCAGTTCAGTTTGGGTATGTTTTGCTTCATTCTCTTCTAATTCACTACACATGACCACACAGTCCCCTTTTACTCCCTCACTCACACCCTCTCCCTCATTGCTGCCATCTTCCTGCCTCTATAGTTGTAATAGTATTTTATTACTATTATTCTTTTCTCATTAATTTCTACTTTTTAAGTTATTTTTTAATCTTTATTGTTGAAAGTATTACATAGGTCCCCCTTTCCCCCCATTGTCCCCTTCTAGCCTGCCCTTCCCCTTCCCCCACCCTTTACTACCGTATTGTCTGTATCCATGGGTTATGCTTTTTTTCTTTAGTATTTTCTACTTAAAATTAAATTTAATGGGGTGACATTGGTTAATAAAATTATATAGGTTTCAAGTATACATTTGTATGATACATGGTCTGCATGTTGTATTATTTCCTTATGTTATCTTTTCATTTATTTTTTTCTAATGTTTTGAGTTTTACTTTATTTGATTTTTGTGTTGATATTTTTGGGGCTATGAGTTTTCCACTGATCAATGCTATACATTATGATATTCATTGTTTTAGTTATTATTAGTTTTCAGAAATTCTGTAATTTCTATTCCCTATTCACTTAAGAATTGTTCAGTAATATCCTAATGGAAGGTCCTTTTTGATTACATTTTTACAGTCCAATTTTATTGTGTTGTGATCAAGGAGTGTTGTTTGTAACATTGCCACTTTATATAACCTACTGGTTTTCTTTATGTCTTAATATACAACCTAATTATGTGATTTTTTTCCATGTGCACTTGAAAGAAGGTATGTTTTCTATTGTTTGAGTATAGTCCGGGCCTGTCAAAATGTATTTCATATATTCTACTTTATTACATTGTTTCTACTTTATTACATTGTTCGCTTTTTAAAATAATATCATTTATTTTTTTGTCTACTAAACCTGTCTTAAATTGTTTTATATAGGTGATTATGTTACTTGGTATATAGATACTCTTAAATGTGTTATCTTCATTGTGGAATGTGAGTTTTAACATTATAAAGCATCCTTATTTGTCCAGAGAAATGCTGTTTTGGTTTAATATTTTCTTTTGGGGTAGTATCTCCCACTTTCTTAGTAATTCCATTTTTGTGATGAATATTTGTCCATCTTATTTTTAACTTTTTTAATCATTGCATTTAAGGTGTGTCTTTTTAAAATATATTTTTATTATTGATTTCAGAGAGGAAGGGAGAGAGAGAGAGAAATAGAAACATCAATGATGGGAGGGAACCATTGACTGGCTGCCTCTTGCACGCTGGGATCAAGACTGAAGCATGTGCCCTGACTGGGAAATGAATCATGACCTCTGGGTTCATTGGTCAATGCTCAACCACTGAGCAACACCGACTGGGCTAAGGTGGTGTGTCTTTTATATATAACACAATATTCATTGATTCATGAATCAGTTTGAAAATTCTTTTAATATGCAAGTTATGATCATATTGATATGATTCTCAAATGTTAGCATGCGAAGGAATCTACTGGAGGGCTGGTTTATACACATATTGCTGGCCCCACTTTCAAAGTTTTTGATTTAGTAGGCTGAAATGAGGCCTGAGAATTTGCATTGGTAACAAATCTGGTTGTTTAGGTCTTGGGTTCACACTTTTTGAACCATTGATCTATAGTTAGTGTTGCAGAAGGGAAACTTTAGGCTATCCTGATTTTTTTGTTTTGTTAAGTAATGTTTCTTCTGCCTGAATGCATGTAGTAATATTTTTCTTTAATAGTTTATGTCAAAACTTTTATCTCTGATAGTGTTTTTTTGTGGCAAGTGTAATCATTTTAGCATCTCATTTTCTAAGTGGTAAATATTGATATTTTAGACTGTGTGATTGGTTTTGTATATTTAGTTTCTCTTACAAGCTCCTATACCAGATCTTTGCATTTTCTGTTAAAAATATTTAGTAGTAGTATTTTATATTTTGATTTTTAGGCCCTTTAGCAGAAAAATATTATATTAAAGAGGTAATGTGTGGTAAGGTAATTCTTGCTTTTCATTATTGTACTCTTTGCTATATGAAAAAATAATGCTCTTTTGAGATGAATTTAAATTTTATTTTCTAAACCTAAATTAAAAAAATATAAAATCATATATGTAAACTATTTTGGGATTTCTTTTAATATAGATCTATAAAGATGGAAATATTTCTATAAAACTAAGTTGTCTATGCAAGATGTATTAAAACCTTTCTATTAATATTAAAATATTGTTATTTTGGATTATAGATTTGTTTAAATAATTTGTACATTTTTGTGATTGAAAATTGCAAGACTTGAATGAAATGTTTTATCACACATTGTGAAGAATTTTATTTTAAAATGTTTAATTACAATTTTATTTTCCAGATTTTGGAATCTCTTTTTAAGGTATGTTCAAAATATTGCAGTTTAAGTTTACTAAAATTAAATACAGAAATACATGTAAATGAAGTTTCTAAGGTTTGAAGTAGTAAAATTCTTTAACTTGCTGATATATATATTTAAAAATTTTATATTACAATTGTATGTTACACTAGCCCTATTCTAAGTCCTAGGATAAATGATGTTTGGTTCATTACTAATTTTTGATATATGAAAATTCCCTCTCTCTCTCTCTCGCTCTCTCTCTCTCTCTCTCTCACACACACACACATGCATGCATACACACATACCCATTTATTCCACTTCAAAATTTTAACTTGTTAATAATTATTTCTTTTCTGGTCCTTTTTTTTTTTAAAGTGGTTTCAGCGACAGGTCAATCAAATGGAAGAGGTAAGTAAAACATTTCTTAATTTTTAATTAAATTAATATTTTATCTCATCTATAAACAAATTTGGAGTATAAGTTAAAATTTTTTGAGTAACCATTGGTTAATATTGATTTACATAGAGAAAGAATGAATGGATAGATAAAAGTGTCTCAGGGATTTATACACTACATTCCTGTATGTATCTGCTATACTCTGAGTTTGGTACATTCTTTCACCTAAAATTGAACAATAGAAATTTAATTATTATTCTTTCCCTAATTTACATAAAATAATAAGTGACAAGAGAAAACTTATCAACTTAAAATTATCCTCTATTTAAATAATCATGCATAATATATATGCTTACTATTAAATCATATATTCATATTTTTAAAAATGTAATGTTATTTTAATGACTTTTTTGTACTTCTTGATTTTCAGGTGCTTTAGTACCAGTTTGAAAACTACTGGTGTCTGTTTTAGGGGTTTTAAATTCTGTTTTGGAAAAGACTTTATGTTATCTGTTTATATAGCAAAATGATTTCTAGAATAGCTTTAGTGATTCATGGAATTATTTTAGTTCTCCCTTGGATACGTTTGTGGCTCAGCCCAATTAAACACTCTTGAAGCCCAGACACTTTAAGTTAAAAAGATTTATTTATTTGGGCTATAAATTAAAGATTAAAGTTAGAAATGGAATCCTAGCAGCTTTTTATTATTTTACCTTTGGCCCCAGAGTAAACTTTTATGGTCTTGCATTCTTTGCTTCAGATATGGCTGACACTGGAAGAATATTGGTAGTTGTTCTTTGATTATGGTAGATTGGTCATCATCTTTCCAGAGAAGTAGGATTGGGGTGAAGTTCACTATTTCCCCCCACCCTCTTATAAGATTGGTATTTCTTTGCAGTTTGGGTAGTGCAGCTTACCTTTTGCCTTCTTATTTTTGTATCAACCTCTTTTTATTCTATTTTTTTATGCAGTTGTCTCACTCTCTTATTTATACACTTAGTTGTGTCAATGTGTGAGACCCATCCAAAACTCTGGTTTCTCAGTTCCTTGACCGTCTTATCTCTGAAGATCTGTGTCCTTTATTTCTGGCTCCACTTCCAGTCACACTCTAGACCTTACCATTTATCAAATTGTTTTACTTTAAACATTACTAATTCAGGTAACTCATTCTTAAACTAGAAATATCTATCTTTCCAATTATTATTTTAAATACTGTTCTGGCCACTTTTGAAGTCAAGACCACTAGTTCATTTATTCCTCTATCTCCTTGCAGTCTTTTTTTACTCATCTTTCTTCACTTTGGAGACTATGTACTCCATCACAGTGAATTTCTTAATTTCCTAATCTCTTTTACCTCTTTCTTTCTTTTGTTCTTGTTGCACTTGTCTAACAAAACAACCCTGAATAAATGTCATTATTCACTCTTTGGGTTTAGCTGTGAAACACTGCTGAAAAAAGTGACATAATAGGTCAGACGCAAAAACTACCTGGAAATTCTATCGCATCTGAAATTGATTTCAACCTTTTTCAGACATCATCTCAAACTCACCCACTTTGTCCCATTTTCATCTTCACTGTCACCCAAGTGCTTGAAATGCTTGAAATACAAGCCACTGGTTAGAATTCCTGCTACCAGTGCGCGCGCGCGCGCGCGCGCGCACACACACACACACACACACACACACACACACACTTATTTACATGCATACTCATTCTATGTTCCTTTCCTCCTGTTAATTAGAGTTTATTGTTCCTTCTCCTACATAAAATTCATTCTTATACTTCTGTTTGGTCTCATCTCGACTTCTCACGAAATTTGATTAATCATTCTCTCTTGTATATTAAACTTTTGTCATTCAAACTGTGTCTTTCCTTTCAGTTTTTAAATATGCTCATGTCTTTCTAATTTAATGCCACATTCCCCTTCAGTTATAGGTCTATCTCTCATTAGCCCTTCATAACCAATTTTAAAAATTATTTTGGAGATTTGGGAGAGTGACGTCAGAGCAATGGTGGCATGAGAGATAGCCTTGTTCTCTCCCCTTGAAGCTTCAACAATTTGAATGGTTATAAATCAACAAAGGATTCCCTGCCCAATGCACAATGTCTGAGATATCTGTGCATTGAAACACAAAAAAGTGGGCAAGTAGCTCTACCTCATGGAGCATTATCCTGGTCCGGGCACATACCCAGGGTGCAGGTTCAATCCCTGATGGTGGTTTGTGTGGGAGGCAACTAATCAATGTTTCTCTTACACACTGATATTTCTCTCTTCCTCTCTCCATCTTTCTAAAAAAATCAATAAAAAAGCATATCCTTGGGTGAATAGTTAAAAAAAAGAAATAAAGGTGAGCAAGTGGGAGCCAATGGGGGAGGCAAGATGGGAGAAGAGCTCAAAGGAGCTACGGACACTGACCAGCAGCCTGGAGCTCACTGCATGGCTCAGCCCAGAGAGTGGAGGAGTCAGGTTATGGCTGGCACTCCCTTCAGCCAGGAGGAGCACTTAGTGAGTATTTCTGCAGGAGTGGGCAGTAGGAGCTGTGGCTGAGCCCAGTGACCTGGGCAGGGACAAAGCACAGAAGTGTGGTCATGGTTTTCTGGAAGTCAGCATTCCAGACAGAGAAACAAAGCCATGGAGCCTGCCCACCTTCCCTTAACCTCCCAGAGCTTGTCTTCCCTCCCACTTTGTGTTGGGTTCCAGAGCACATTATCTGCAAACCCAAGAACTGGGTCTACAGAAACACCTTTTGCCCTGAGCAAAGAGGGCACTCTGCAGCTAGTCCCAGGATCAAGTGGAGGCATCAGGGGACATTGTGGAGATATGCTGATTACCATTGCTAGTAGGGCAAAGCAACAAAGGAGGTGGCTGGGTTCCCCCAGTTCACTCCACCCCCATACATTGGCAGCTGCTCTGCTGTCAGTGTCTGGCTGGGGAGGACAGCACTGGGATTTTATGGATTTGGAATCCATTGCCTACTACATGCCCCTGTGGGTGACCAGATCACAGGGAAGGCACCCACTTTCCCAGGGAACACAGGCCATTTACCACCACCCTACAGAGATCTGAAAAGCCCGAGAAGTGCAAGAGAGTTGAAAAATGTGTGATTCAGTGTCATCCACCAGAAAACAATTGAATGACTACCTCTTATCAATCTACTAGAGAAGTGCCACTCATACATAGATGCCTAAAAGAGAAGGATCACATCAAATACCATGTAGAACCAAGATAACGAGGCAGCTCAGGCAGAAAATGAAAATTCTTCAGAAGATAAACTTAAAAACATGGAAATACATTATTTAAAATAGTGGTTGCCAGCCGATGGTCCGTGAGGTCTGAAAAGTTGGCGACTGCTGGTTTAAGGAAACCTTTGGAGCAGCGGTCGCCAATTGGTGGTGTGCAGACCATTGGTGGTCTGTGAGGTCCGAAAGGTTGGCAACCACTGATTTAAATGACAGAGAATTCAAGATTGCAGTTCTGAAAAAAACTCAACAGGATGTAAGAAAATACAGGCAGTTTAATGAACTCAGAAACCAAATCAACAAGCAAAACAAGTACTTCACTAAAAAGATTGAAACTTAAAAAAAGAAGCAAACAGAAATTCTGGAGAAGAATTCAATAAAAGAGATCAAGAATGAATTAGTAATTCCACATGTGAGTGAAATCATATGGTACTTGTCTTTCTCAGACTGGCTTTTTTCACTTAACATATGCTCTTCTGCTCCATCCATGCTTGCAATGGGTAATATTTCCTTTTTTATAGCGAAGTAGTATTTTACTGTACCACAGCTTTTTTATGCACTCATTCACTGATGCATACTTGGGCTGCTTCCAAATCGTGACTATTGTAAATAATGCTGCAATAAACATAGGGGTGCATATATTCTTTCAAATTAGTGTTTTAGGTTTCTTTGGATATATTCCCAGAAGTGAAATTTCTGGGTCATAAGGCAACAGTTCTGTTTTTAGTTTTTTGAGGTAACTCCATACTGCTTTCCACAGTGGCCGGACCAATCTACATTCCCACCATTGCACAGGGATTCCCTTTTCTCCACATCCTCACCAACAACTTGTTGTTCATTGATTTATTGATGATTGCCATTCTGACAAAAATAAACTAACACACAAAATAGAAACAGACTAATAGAGAACAGACTGCCATCTTTCAAGTGGGACGGGAATTACAGGGATGAGTGAAAAAGATGAAGGGACTAAGAAAAAAAACCCTTATAGACACAATCAACAGTATTGTGATTATCAGAGGGAAAAGTGGGTCAGGGGAAATGGGAGAAGGTTTAAAAGGGATAAATGGTGATGGAAGAAGACTTGACCTGCGGTGGTAAACAACACAATGTAATACACAGATGTATTATACCTGAAACCTCTGAACTTTATTAACCAATGTCACCTCAATAAATTCAATAACAAATAAAATAAATTAACTAGAAAGCATAGGAAATAGAGTGGACCAGATGGAGAAAAGGGTTAGGGTATCAAAGATAGAAACCTAGAAATGATGCAGAAGAAAAAAGAGAGACTTGAGCATAAAAAATGAACTCTAAGAACTATCTGACTCCATCAGAGAATTGTAAGAGTAACAGGCAGGCTTATTTCACTTAGCATAATGCTCTCGAGTTCCATCCATGCAGTTTCAAATGGTAAGAATTCCTTCTTTTTTACCGCATTGTGTAGATGTAGGGGAGGGTGGGAGTAAGGGGGAGAGATCAACCAAAGGACGTGTATGCATGAGTATAAGCTTAGCCAATAGACACAGACACTGGGGGTGGGGGGGGGGAGAGGTGAGGACATGATCAACAGTGAGGAATTTAACAACCATAAAAAATTTTCCCCAAAATAAAAGTCTAGGACCAGATGGCTTCATCAGTGAATTTTACCAAACATTCAAAGAAGATTTTATACCTATCCTCAAAATCTTCCAAAAAATTGAAGAAGAGGCAATACTCCCTACAACACTTCTTACCACATTTTATGAGGCCAACATAAGCCTGATACC